AATGGTCTAGATTCGTTTTTGGAGATGACTCATTTTGACCATATCTAGGGTTCAAATTGAACTTTTTTTTGTTTGGGGATTGATTATTGAGATGAAGAGAGTGTGTGTGCAAAATTTAGGGTCATACAAATACCACAAACATGGTTTTCTAAAAACGTCATTGCATTATACTATGATACAACCGTTGCATTGGATCATTGCTCTTTTATTTATTATGATTTGAGTTTCCTTTCAGTGGTGTCTTGGTATAATTTGGTTTTGGACCCAGTTTCTATGCGGCCAAGCCCGCATATGTAGAAATGCGGGCTTCTTAATAAATCTATTGATGAGATGGATTTTAAGATTTAATTTTTAAGGACATGTAATTTCTAATATGGAGATCATGAATATGAACAAATAAATAAATTTTAAAAACTAAAAATAATAATTCTAGTAAGAAAACATTTGGACCGTTAGTTTCCATTGTTTTTAGATGGAACACTTACTTGCATCCATCTTTAAGATGGATGTGTTTTACATGTAATAATAAGGATTGTGTTTCAAGCTGAATTGTTATAAGTGAGCTTATAAGTGAGCTGCCTTTCTTGTGCTTTTCAACTGGTTTGTTCTCTAATTAAGCATATTCGTTTGCTAATTACAGGGTTTTTCAACTAAATCTGGTTCATGTGCCACCTGTTTTGGTGATTTCCAAACCTGTCCAGGCCATTTTGGATACTTGAAGCTTGCTCTACCAGTTTTTCATGTTGGCTACTTTAGGACCACGATAATCGTTTTGCAATGCATTTGCAAGGTATGGAAAACATTTACTTGTCATTCAATGGTAAATAGGTGAAATATGCAGATATGGTCTGTAAATGTTTTATTTGTAATAGAGAGTTATCCAGGCCATTTGGGTTTATCTAGATCGGAAACTTTGGAGGTCATTATAAATTATAATGAGTTTTTTTGGTCTATGATTTTTAGTGGAATATAATAAATTTTTATGGAACGGGGCTGTGGCACAATGGTCAGCGTGGTGATGCCACAAAGTGTTATCAAAAGTTCCAATACTACCTTGTTAGCATTAAAAAAAGAAAAAGAAGAATATATTAGAATTTTATGGGTTTTGATCCAAAAAGGAAAAAAAAAGAAGAATATATTAGAATTTTATGGGTTTTGATCTTTGACTATAAGTAAACGGGGCTGTGGCACAATGGTCAGCATGGCGATGCCACAAAGTGTTATCAAAAGTTCCAATACTACCTTGTTAGCATTAAAAAAGAAAAAGAAGAATATATTAGAATTTTATGGGTTTTGATCCAAAAAGAAAAAAAAAAGAAGAACATATTAGAATTTTATGGGTTTTGATCTTTGACTATAAGTAAAATTATAATAGTTATGTGGGTCTTGATCTATGATTATGAGTAGAATTACGATAAATTCATGGTTTTGGTCTATGATTGTTCCTAAAATTATAATAATTTGAAATGCGTTTTGGTTGTGATTGCTAGTTGACCAACTTGTTTTCAGATATTAACACTTTGCACTTGCAGTCATGTGCACGTATACTTCTATTTGAGGAAGAACGCAAACAATTTCTGAAGAAGATACGGAATCCTAGAGCAGAGCTGCATCAAAAGAATGACTTTGTGAAAAAAGTAATTGATAAATGTAAACGTGTGCGCATCTGCCCTCGTTGTGGAGATTATAATGGTTTGTCGTCTTATGACCCAAATAATTCTCTGAACTTTTCTGTCCCATATGGAAATCATTATTTCTCATGAATAATGTGGGAGAATTTGAACCATGTTTGCCTCTTGTCGTCCACGTTTAAGTTTAGCTAGTGTTCAACCTCCACATTCTGCAACATTAAAAGCGCAGTGTTAAACATGTTTATTTCTTTTGTAGGACAACTTGAATTGTCTTGGTTGAAACTGAAATCTATGCAACTTTATCTTGTGCTGGCATCATTTATAACTGCTTTCCTTCAACATCAAAGTAATGGTAGTAGACGTGTTCGCTTTTGTGTAGGATGACTTAAATTGTTTCGGTTGCAACTGAAATTCATTATAAGCTATTCTATTCGTGCTAATGCCATTCATTAATACCTCTTATGCATGCTAAATGTGTGGGTTCATCGTCCTTAGAAAAGGTGGCCTCTCTACATATTGCTTAAAGTTATAGCTTGTAGTTCTGTGCAAATTCGAAGCCAACTCATGCTTCACTGAAGTCAGTTTAACTCGTTCCAATATTGAGTTGATTGATATGTGCTACTTGCTTGGACAGATGCATGTCCTGATTTGGCCTAATCAACTGTGCCATCTTGGCTTGGGTTAGTCAATGGTCGAACTTGATCAACAAATGTGATTCAGACTAAGTTCATGTGTTTTGTACAATGAGTTTGTGATCAAGGAAGTTGGATTTTGGAGTTTATGTAAGGGTTTGTAAGGTCTACAATATGGTTCAATGGTCGTTCTTATAAATTTGCTTCTTATGAGCTTTTGCATGGTTAGGTGGGCCTTATAAACGATCTTTGCCTTTTTTTTAAATTCCTTTTTATGCACTCATTGCTTTGAACACCTAGCACCCCCCCCCTTTCACGAAAAAAGAAAAAAAAAAAGAGTAAAAGATTTTAATTCCAGAATAGCTCCTATTTTCAAGCAGTAATTTATTTCCATAAATGCCCTTGTTCTGAAAACTAAATTTACTATACACAATCAAAGTGGTTAATTTAAGAAAATAAAGCATAGTTTATTTCTTGCGAAACTCTTGAAAACCTTTGGAAACTACTATCAGAAGAATGTGAATGTTATGGGATAAAACCTTAACTAGAGGCTCCATGACTAAGCCTATAATTTTCCCTAAACCTCGAATCATCCCAAAGGGCCATGACCCACACGTCTTCCATGCAAGGGGCTAATGGTTAGCTTGTCAAAGCTGGCTAAGGCACATAGAAACCATAAGATAGGCAGAGAGCCACAAATTCCAGGTGTCTCTCCAAGGACATGCATGTTCCATCCCAGAGATTGTGTGGACTTGCTCCTGATCCATCACTGGTGCAAAACAAAGCAACACTCATGCTTTGTAGGATGTTTTATTGAGAATTTTCGGCTCTTGTTCTCTCAGATCATCATCCTATCGCATATAGAAGCTTGTTGCATCTCCTAGCTAAATCCACTATTGGGTCGATCTGAACCCTGACAAAATGGCAAATGCATAATCTCCCTTAGTGATGCATTCCAGAAATAAGATATATCCGACCCAGGGTGCGGGTTCCATTCTATCGAGCCAAGGCCTAGACCGCGAACCAATACAAGAGTGATAGAGTGCTAAGTCCCATTATTGAGTCCGCTCTCAGAGCCCTCTCAAATATGGCACTTGTGCCATGCCGCTCTAAATCATGTACAACCCACTTACATGGCCTGTCTCATCCTTACAGTGCAGCACGCTCACTCAAACAGAGTAATATTTATTACTATAAATAACAGAATACATAATTACATGGGGCATAGGCAAAAACTATGAACAGAAAACCAAGTGCTAAGGCCTTTAAAGGGCACAAATCACAACACTGATGTTTAGTTGAAGAGACTAATCTGCGTGTATCCGGACAAATGTTTATTGGGTTATTATGCTTGGTCTATTATCATCTGTTTTTCCTTGCAAGAGTCCCCTTTTCCCTGTGCCTGCCATATTTTATGGAAGGGTTTTATTCTTTAGTGGATCCATTAGGTGCACCTTCCACTACATTTACTGAGAGATGATGACATTTAGCCCCTCCTAGGAAGGATAGGGGATGAGCTCTTTACATATTGAGAATCCATAGCTTCTACAATATCCTTACATTCATCCTTGTTTGTGCTGTCTTCCCTTTTCCCAGTTATCCTTTTGGCTCTTTGTTCTTGTCTATATTTTCTTCTTCTGTTGTTGTATGTGTTGTATATACTCGACTGATTACCATTTGATGTATACTTCTTTCTCTTAATGCATAATTGATTAAAAAGATGAAAGTATGCATGCGGTTCTTTCGTTTGACATGCATGATATTAATATTATTTCTATGACTTCTTATGAGAGAACTTGTCGGGGGTTATATTTAGTCTTCATATTATATCTATTTGGACTTTTTTTTAAAGTAGGGGTGTATATGCAATACTAATAAAATCTAATAGGAAAACATTTTAGTGCCTGCTTTTGTGATCCAAAATATCCATTAAAGAATGGAGTTATTTGGAAACAAGTGAAAGCAATAGTCCCATGCCCCCATCTGCGTGTGCAGGGACAAGGACCGAGGGGGAGGGCGGGTGTTTGGTTAAATTTTGCAGTATTTTCGAGTAGGGGATGGAAAGGGCTAATACCCTTGAATGGAGGAGCGGACCAACCCTTTCCTTCTACACTTCTAAATGGGCAAGGGTAGAATGGAGCTAGTGTTAGATGCCTTATTTATTAATACCTGGTCCCCATCAAATTAGGCCTTTGAAGTAACATTGTTTGATACTGCTGAAATCGGGGGGATAGTATGCATGTTTGTGTTCTATTCACACTTCTTGGTTTGCCCATATTGGTTTGCCCATATGATCCTATGATTGAGTGAAACACAGGCATGTGGAGCACAATTCCTTGAGTTTGTCTTGGGTTTCTAGAATCTTTATTGTGAGGAAATGTTTGAAGTTTTTGTAATTATTTTTTTGAAGAATCCAACATTATATATTCTTAATAATATAGATTTTACAAAATCTCAGGAGCTGTGAGTTACGACATCCCACAAGTTGGGTGCTCGTACACGAAGTACGATCACATAAAAGACAAGAGGATGTGAAGGCAAAGTTCAGATAACCAATCTCGTATGATCGCTTAAAAGACAAGAGGGTGTGAAGGCAAAGTTCATATAACCATGAAAGATAGTAGAGTAATATGGAAGTTGGAGGGAGAGATGATGTAGATAAGAGCATAAAGTGAGAAAATAGAAATGTTGGGACATAGATGAGAGAGAATAGAGGAGAGACGTACATGAGAGAGAAGAAAGGGGGGTGTTTTTCATTGTTGTGTGTGGGTTGTAGTAGTCTCGACCCCTTGCTTGGTGAGCACATTAGTGGCCCAGTTCTTCTCCTGCCAAATATGCTGGAAAACGACTCGTAGTTGCCTGCAAAGAAAGTGGACATGGTCGAAAATGTGGATTAGTTGCCAAGGAGGTTCAGAAGATTGCGATGCCCATGTCGGAACTTTTGAGTAATTTGTAGGTAGAGGCCCAGAAGATAGTGATTGTTTTCGCCTTTTCTGCTATTTCTATTGCACTACTCCTTGTTCATGGTGGACACAAAAGTTTTGCTACTTCCAAATTGACCATAGGCTTCACTTGGATGGATGCCCTCCAAAGGAAAATCCCCATGGAGGAAAAAGTTGGGGAGAAGTAGGCTGAGAACAAAAGTTCGATATTCAGAGGAGTGACTAACCAGTAATTAAAATCCTTACATTTTGCTCCAAACCTGTTATGAGAAGTGGTAGTGTATGAAATGGTGGGAGTGAGACTCCTCATCCTCACACATATGCCGATTGGTAAGGTTAAAACCTCTTCTTTGGAGTTGTTCTAAAGTGAGATTTCTTTGAGAAATAAATAGTGAAGAGAACGCTTGAATCCTGTGAGGGTTTCAATGATCCAAGCTTTGTGGTGGATAGAGGAGGTAGAAGGTTGGTGTGGAGGAATGGCTTTATAAAGGAAGCGATTGAGAAGGTCCCAGAATGTTCTTTAAACCAGAAGGGTTTGTCGGACTATTTCCTTTGATTTCAGAAATTGGAGTGAAGTTGAGGAGGTTGAGCAAGTGGTTAAATTTGTCCTGAAAGGCTTTTCTAAAGATGGGTGCCCACATTTATTGGTTCTTGTTTAATGGGAAGTAGGTATCAATGGTGGCATCTGTATCAGTGGCTAGGGAGTATAGGTTGGAGCAGAGGTCTTTTAGTGTCGAGTGCTCGATCCACAGGTGTTTTCAGAACATGACTTTATTACCTGAGTTAACTCTGTATCGATTAGCAGCATAAAGGTATCTTGGCAAGAGTAGAGGCATTTGAAAAAGTAGAAGATGCCGCTATCTTAAGGTTGTCTGCGCGAAATCAGTCCACATTATCAGAGCCATATTTGTTGTTGAGAACACGACATCAGAGAGAGTTGTGGTTGGTGGAAAAGCGCCATCACCATTTACTAAGCAAGGCTTTTTGTTGGTAAGCTTGAGGTCATGAATACTAAGACCACCCACTCTTTTGGGTTGGTAGACCTTGTCCCAGGAGATGAGAGGAGTTTTTTTTCTTAGAACTATCAGAGAACCACAGGGAAGTTCACATCATTTTGTTGAGAAGGTTGATATTGGAAGAAAGCATGATGAAAAGGGAATGGTATGGATTGGGATATTGGATAAGATGGAATTGATGAGGCAATCCTACCTCCAAGGGAGAGAAACCAGCCTTGCAAAGAAACCAGTTTTCTCTGAAATTTCTCCACTATAGAATCCTAGAGGGCTGGCCTAGGTTCCCTGCACTAAGCTGAAGGCCTAGATACTTGGTCGAGAAGTTGTCTACGATACAATCTAAGCCTATTTGCTTAAAGATGGAGATGATCTTTTGGGACATGGATGCCTATGAGTTTGGATTTGGACATGTTGATTTTTATATCGGTGGCGAGTTCAAAGCATCTAAAGAATATCCATAGATTGTCACTCTATTCAGTCGAAGCATCAAAGAAGACAAGGGTGTCATCTACGTACTGTAAGTGACAAATGTCTTCTTTGAGTTTGGAGGTCTTAAACCCTTCCAAGGTACCTATGTGGTACAAGATCTACCAAAGACCTCAGCTTTAGTGGCAAAAAGAAAGGATGACAAGGGGTTTCGATAGTGGGGGCCTCTAGTAGGAGAGAAGTGACCTTTGGGTGTGCCATTGATGAGGATAGAGGTAGACGTGGTGGAGATACAAGCATGGATCCACCGGATCCACTTTTGGTGGAAGTCTGTCTTAGAGAGGACCAGGAGAAGTATGGAGATGGACCAATCAACATGGTCGTAAGCTTTCTCCCAGTCGAGCTTGAGAATGAGACCGAATTTCTTGGAATGGTGATGGTAATGAATGGATTTATGGAAAACAGCCGCACTATCAAGAATTTGTCTGTTGTGGATGAAGCCACCGTAGTGAAGAGGATGGGTTGTTATCAGAGTTTATTTATTGGCTGCTATGGGAGGGAGCACCCGAACAGATAGAGTTGCACTATCATTCCATAGCCATGGAGCTTCGACCTTTTCGTCATTTTCTATTTCATTCATCTTTATACAAATAAACAGAATTCAAAAGAAGGATTTCCATTATGAATAGCAATTGTATGGCCAATCATTGTGGATATAATGGTAGATACGCGGGACCAATTTACTAGAATTTCTTTTTCCTCTCTCATGTTAAGCTTATGAATTTTTAATAATAAATGATTAGCTACAAAAGGATTTTTTTTACGTGAACGAGACATAGTTAAGAACTCCTTTTTTTTTTAGTACTGTCGGGGAGATTATAGTTGGGGGCTCTTCTCTTAGGGTATCGAATCAGAACCTCTAGTCTCAGTCTTGTCTCAGAACCTGCTGCCATTTCTTAGGGGGCTCTTCTCTTAGGGTATCGAATCAGAACCTGCTGCCATTTCTTTATTACGAACCAAGCGAAGCGCATGGTGGCCTTCTTCACTACAATGCTTTAAGAAAAGAACCGCCACGCTTTCTTAGCTTAGCCGTGCTAAGCGTGTGGTCATGCCAGGCCGGTTAGTAAGCGTATATAAGCTGCCTAGGTTGTTCTACGGCCACCAAGACTTAGATCCATGGACCAAATTTGATTTAGTGGGATCTTTCACTCACATTTTTTTCAACAAAGAACGTTTTATGGAACTCTTTGACCCCCGAATTTGGAGTATCCTACTTTCATGCTTTTCGCAGAGTTCAACAAGCAATCGATATTTCACGACCAAAGGTGCAGTACTGCTTTTTGGAAGATGACTTGGTCTAAAACCATCATAAGTCTGGAGGCCAGGATTTTGGAAAGAATTTTGTAAGAGGAGTTCAGAAGATCGATGGACCAGAAATCTTTGATGTCGTCAACTCCCTCAACTTTAGAGATAAGGGCAATAAAGGTGCTGTTCATGTCTTTGTCTATGATGCTTTATGGTAAAATTCGTAGAGAAAGGTAAGATGTCGGGGAAAAGAATCCGTAAAAAATGACGGTAAAAGGAAATTGGGAAGCTGTCAGGGCCTGGGGCTTTGTCTTTGCCAAGAGAAGTCATAGCTGCCCTAATCTCATTTGATTGGAAGGGCTTAACCGGTGAAGTGGCATAGTGAGGACTGAGAGTCAAGGCTCTGAAGTTTGTATTATTACTCTTCCTTATCATGTTCATTATGCCGACTTGGTGTATCATGACCTTTTGCTATTAAAATTTGAGATTCCTTCATCATGAATGTCTACTGAATATGAATCTGTTTTTGTATGCAGGTGTTGTGAAGAAGGCCGGTCCAACTTTTCGCATATCTCATGATAGATCCAAGGCAAATTATGATAAACTAACTAAAGAGTGTAAAACGGCAATCTCACAAACTAAATATTCAAATTCAGACTTTAATATGGTTGAAAATCTTACCCCTCAACGTGCTCTTGCTCTTTTTGAAAGAATGGTGGATGAGGTATATTCTTTTTCTAGTAGTCTTAGCTTTAGTTTCCTGCTTAAATTTTGAAAGCTGGTGTAGGCTTCTAATTTAGATGACTTGTGGTTGCTTTTGTTTCTTTTATTCTACTGTAGGATTGTGATTTGCTGTATCTATATGATCGGCCTGAGAAACTCATCATAACACACATTGCAGTGCCACCTGCAGGCATTCGTCCTACTTATCAATCAGGTTCTAGACTGTAGGTTCCTTTTTGTCCTTAACAGCGCATTTGGAGTCTATATGCTTCATAAATTGATTGTATTTTTTATGTTTGTATGTTTGATCTTGTATTAGCTCTTTTCTTCAGTTAAGAATATTTTTTGTCAGAGCTAAGGCTTGTGTTTTGATTTTCTGGTTTTGCAGCAATGAAAATGAACTTACTACTAAATTATGGGAAATCGTTCAGATAAATCATACTTTGATTGATCATGTGAACAAGGGAAATCTTCCACAGTATTATATGGTACAATATTGATCTCTCATGTTATTGATGTACTTGTGAGGCTTGTGTTTCCTTGTGGAATTTCTTGTTATGATGCTTACTAGAACAACTTTCTTAGTTGGTTGTATGTCTCAGATACATTTCTTGCTGATTGTATTGTTAATATTTAGTTGAATCTTGAATGGTATTTTTTTTTTATTAACGTGAGAGCTGTTCTCACCAGTAAGCTGTGCATTGGCTTAAAAAAGATAGGCTGTTTTATCGTTACTATTTGAGTTTATCTTGACTCTTGACACACGATATCTGATCTTGATATTTGTTATTTAAGAGAACCGTCCTGCATATTTGCAAATATTACGTTGCCTTTGATGTCTTTGATTTTCAGTTCACCTGATGCAGTAAGACATAACCTCCCCTGCATACAATTAATCTTACAAACCATATGTTGGGCTTGAATGCGGAGAGATTCAATAGGTCCCTGGCTTTGTAGGCTTGTTCTGATGCCTATATCCTCTAGCTAAGCATTTGACAGGACCCGGTGTGTCTTTTTGTTTATTATTGTTGGATTGTCATGCTCTAAGACACCTCATGTGATTATATACATGTCTGAGGATGATTCAGTCTATTGTACATTTATGTAATATATTGCGAAGGGCATGGTACGCTAACATATTATTCTCTGCGATATGTCCAACTCTTGCAGTTCATTTATACGTACTTTTATGTTAGAGCAATGCTGCTTTTGGTTTTTTTTCTCTATCTCATTTGGCACTTTGACAGTCTGCTTCCTATAATTTTGACAGAACTTTTGGAGTTGCAACTACATAAAATTGCTGTATCAAGACTATCAACCTAGGTTCCATCAAAATTTTATTTGCGTATATTGACTAGAATTTCTATTGGTTTTCGTTTTTAGCTTGGTTTTAGCATGATCTTCCGAATCTGGCTTTGCATGTGCATACTTATTTGAGTTCAATAGTGCTTTAACTTTATGTTCTCTACTGCCTATTCCCATTTTGGGTCTTGTTGCTGATTTTAATTACTTTGTTAATTCCAAGTTCTAGCGAATCAATATGTTTTCTAAATATGTGAAAACTTTCTTTTCTATGAGGTACTTATTTTGTAGATCTTTTAGTATATTGTTTGACATTTTGCAGCTGTCTTGGTGTTGTTCCTTTTTTTTTTTTTGATGTCTTTAGTGGAACATGTGAATACCTCGGAACATGTGAATACCTCGTTTCTGTCTACCTGCGTGAACGTTTTTCCAATTATCGTCATCTTTGAACTTTACTGTCATCAGTATGCACTATCATCCTGCTCACTTCCTTTAGGGGGCAGTTTTTGTTGGGGTTTGTGGTCTTTAAAGGCATAGAGAGCTTGTAAATATAATTATTTATAGTGATTTCTTCACTTTTGAGGGAGTGTATTGTGGCTGATTGACTTAGGGTTGGGCGGTCTATGACTCGGGTTTGTCCAAAACCCTTTCCCTAGTCATGTGGCACTACCATTGTGGGTCATCCCTTGTTGAGGTCGGGGAGATGTCAAGGGACGTTGTTTGTAAGATAGGAGAGCTGTGTGGTCTTCTACGTGTGGAGGACGAGCCTGTGATAGTGAGGGCTGAATCCTCAACAAAACTTCTACATAGCATGTACATATGACAACCGCATTTTGGGAAGCAACCCTATATAGAGGGAGTGAGGGACACCTGTACATTTGCATAGAGAGCACTACAATGATGTGTGCATTTGACTTGTTCTAGGGGGAACATGTAATCAACTTACTGGGATTATAGTTGCACTATTTCTTGACCAATTTTGACAGGCCAATCATGAGCCCTTGCACTTGACTGTGGGTCATGGGTTTTGTTGGGTTAGTTGACATGACAGTAGTGGATCATGGATCATGGCACTGACGGAGTGCCCTGGTAGTCAGTTGTTATTTGACCTATAAGTTATTTATCCACTTGCCGACTTCAATTTGTTGGAAAAAGGTTTTGATGATGATGAAGGTATTTATCGACTTCTAAGTTGTATTTCTGTGCATTTTATGTTTTTGTGAAACTCTAGAGATATTGTTTTCAACTAAAAATGAGGTACTGTGAATTTTTGAAGTTGTCATACTTCTAAATACTGTTATTTGCTTAAAAATTCTAAGGGGTATTTCTGAAATTTTTTAAAATTGCGAGGGCATCCTGAAAATTTTATAAATTTTGTGTGGGACTCACGTGGAGGGCTAAGGGCCCAGCCCTTGCCCCACATGGGGTGTCATGTGGGGCCTACTAGGGTCACATGGCCCACTTTATGGGATGCCCCACATTATTTTGGCACATGTTATTTTTAGTTAAGGAAAATTATCCTATTGTGGTTTAGAAATAATTTCTTAACAAAGAGATTTTAGTTGGTTGAAAATATTCTTTAAAAGAAAATATTTTATTGTTTTGTTGTATTTTGTTGGCCAAATTTGGATTAATTTGAATTTCCTTATTATCCCTTTGTGAGAGAAATGGAGTTCTAGAATATTATGTTTGACTGGTCTAGATAGATTAGATGTGGATATGGGTCAAATCTCTGGGTATAAGGTTCTTGAAGATTCACTCTATATCATGATGGCTGATCTTGGATATGAATGACTCATATTAGATCTTCTCTAACCTCACATATTACCTTATAATCCTAGATAATGTCGTACTCCTAATCTGAATGAGACTCGCTATGCTCTAGAGGCCTTTAAATGTGGGTGCTCTCCCCCTTCTCTCTCCCACCTCTCCATGCTATTCTCCCTCTCTCTCTCTCTCTAAAAGGGGCATGAGACTCTTCCTAAGTGCCTATTGTTGGCACACCCAACATAAAGAGAGAGAAAAAGAGGGAGCAACCTCAGCCCTAGCTTTAGTTTTAAGGATAGGTGCATGCCCCAAGGTTGAAAAAGGGTTCTTAGTGAAACCGTAATTGTGGCCCTTGCTCTCTTGCCACATAAAATTCAAAAAGGGAGTCCTAGAAGTGTTTCCCAGTTTAGATTAGTGAATTTTGCAGGTTCTAGTATCGAGTGCGCTATTGGTCATGTAATCAGGTGTGGGGTATGCTAAGCCCTAAGGGGGTAACCGTAGGCAAAAGTTAGTAAGCCTTCCGACATTTATTTTATCTTTATTTATTGCTGTTCTTGTTTAAGTATTTCCTAAAATTGTTAATTTTATTCAGTTTAAATAAACTTCTATTTTGGCAGTAAGTTATTACGATCTTAGATTGTAGTAGGCCTATTTTATTGCAATTGTGTCACATGTAAGTCAAATTTCCGGCAATTTAGAGAAGAAAAAGAAAGAAAAAATTGAATTTACAGCCTGGAATTATACGTTGCCACTTCTTTTAGTTTCTTAATCCAGTTAGCCTCGCAACGTATGCACTAGTTGATCCCATGTTATAATACCTTGACATCATATCTGCGACTAACTTGAATACTTTGCCTTTCCCCCAAAAAATTATTTGAATCTTGCACTTGATTCTGTAGTGTTCATTATTGAGAGGAGTACCTTGGTCTTTGTATTCTTGACTTTTAGGTATCTAGGTGTTTATCTAATTTTACAGCTGATTATACAGCCGATTAGTGCATTGAGGATTGCATGATATTAGATGAGGTCGTTGCTTTGTATTGAATTATGTTTCAAGTCAGTTGTCATTTGTATTTAAAGAGTGAGAGGAGATTCTCGTACTGTGATCTGTGATTGATGAGATTCTCGTTGTGGAGGCATCTGAATGTGAATGTAGGCTCTATGGGGTCCTCATTGCAATCCCTTTGCAGGTAGCTTAGAAACTTATGATGCGTTAACCGTTAACCTGGACTGGAGACTCTAGATTGGGTCTTACTCTTGATTAGGCAAAGTTTCCATGGATGCACATGGGCAGCATTTGTGCGTCACACGTTTCCGTGATGGAAATGAATGCGAGAAGCGAAACGATACGAGAAAGCGATAAACACAGCTCAAAGAATTTAAGGAATCAAGAAGTAATAGAAGACTGACAAGCTTAAGAGAAACACATTGAGAAAAATGTGTGGAAAAAGGCTTAGGAAGTATTTAGAGTGCATCTGGGAAGCAAAGGAGAAGCAATTAAGAAATGTGTAGGGAAACTTTTTAAGATAGGTTTGCCAACGAATTAGAAGTGTTTAAATAGAATATATGAATCAAACAATATACAAGTGTAAAAATGTTTATTGTAAAATAGATTTCACTTACGGAATAGCTTACCATCTCTCTCTCTCCTCCCCCCCCCCCCACATTCAAATACATATACATTGAAGGTACTAGCTCACTTGAGCTTATCATCTCTCTCGCTCTCTTGCACTATAACTTAATAGTTCTCCATATTCTTCAATGGGCAAATATGTATGAACCTAAAACATCCCATGGCGTAGAGGATTTCATGTGCTTTTCAATGCTTAGAGAATACCTCCATCAGTGACCCCTTTCGAAAGTTATGACTATAATACTAAATGACTCGAAAATACCATTCAAGTCCTTATTTTCACCATTGTTTCCCAAATTTCCACATTACATAAGTTTCACTCGCATTCCGTGCGTGTTTCATCTTGTTTCACATGTGCTTCACATACCTGTCACACATTTTGCATACAATTCGCGTGTGCTTCATGTATCTTTTGAAGTTTGAGTCGCTTCTGCTCTGGGGTCACACTTCCCACCCCCATAGGTACTTCTGGTGGCTATGATCTGTCATGCAGGAACTTGTGTTCATGTTTCTGCTACGGATGCTTGATTGAATGAGACCTTCTCCATTAGTTGTATTACTGTTACTGCTATTGTAATCACTAACTTCTTTTAGATAATATTTAAATGTTGAATATTATTTATCATTTATAGTATATATAATTTACATAAAATATAGAAGAATCTATGATTGCAAATGTCAAACAGAACAGCGTGCGATAGATTACATATTCTATTTTTATGTTGGAAAATGTTTATAGAAGGTTGAGGCCCTAAACAATTAAAAGTAGGCGCACCTCAAAAATTCACTAGAAGAAGTTTTTTCGATGCTGAAAAACCTACAAATCAGATCATCTCGACCTTGAGATACATGGATGGAAAAAAAAAAACGGATTTTAAATCTTGGAAATTGTGCATCTTGTGATGTATTACTATCTAGACAGTCAATTTTCAAGATTTTAAATTGTTCATAGATCTACACTATTTTTGAAGCTTTAATTTTACAATTAGCGATGAAAATAAATTTTTAGGTCATCATAAATATTTTTGATACTGAAAAGATACTATCGATACTACTTGAAGGTGCGCCTTAGTTTGATCGTTTAGGGCCTCAGACTTATACAAACCACACACCCATTTATGTTTATTGCACATTCTTCCTTGTTTGTTGCAACTTTGGATGTACCAGTACATTCAATTTGTTACTTTGCACTTTTATAGACAAGAGCAAGACTGAGCTGTCATTTCAACATATGGATCTTGTCATGAGAAATATTGGACATTCATCAGGTTCTTTGTCTTTTTTTCTAAAAGAAATTCCTGCAAAATACGTGAGGTGGAGGGTTCGGCATGTTTTCTCCTCTGCCAGTGTTCTAAATTTGTATTATTATTTTCATTATTTTTTGTGGCGTTCTGCTGTTACCAGGACACTTGGGTGTTGCTACAAGTTCGGGTGGCTTTGTACATAAATAGCGAGCTTCCTAGTCTTCCACTTAACTATCAGCCCAGCAAATTTGAGGGTGGGCTTGTACAGCGCCTTAAGGGCAAGCAGGGGCGCTTTCGTTCTAACTTAGAAGGAAAACGTGTTGATTTTACTGGCCGGACTGTTATTTCTCCAGATCCCAATCTTAAGATTACAGAGGTTGGTTTATTCATACATGACGAGAAGCTGATTGGATACCATTCTTTTTTTATCTGTAATATATTTTAAAGTTGCTTGCCATTTTTTCATGATTGTAGGTTGCAATTCCCAGATTAATGGCTCAGATCTTAACCTATAAGGAACGTGTCACCATTCACAATATCGAGAAGCTAAGGCAATGTGTTCGTAATGGACCTGTGAAATACCCTGGGGCTAACTTTGTGATCTCTGGTGGTGACACACTGTATGTTCTATGCATTGTGTCTTCATTCAACCTAGGACATTTGACTTTATATACATGTCAACTAATCTGTGTTTCTTTTGTAGATCGCTAAGGTATGGTAACAAAAAACGTAAAGCGGATGAACTAAAATTTGGTGATTTTGTGGAGCGTCATTTAGAGGATGGAGAAATTGTTCTTTTTAATCGACAGCCCAGTCTGCACAGAATGTCTATTATGTGCCATAGGGTACCAGTTTTGTAACTTTTGTAACTGATTTTTTATTTTATTTTCCTTCTTGGAAGTCTTGGTGTCCGTGGATGCTTCCGTTTGTTCACATGTACGCACACTTATTAATGCATCAGACATGATTGTTTCTGTAGACACAGAAAAAAAAATGTTCTCTTTTGTGGTGAAAAAAGAGAAGTTTTATTCTAATGCCATGGTGGATTTATCTGTCTTGTAGGCAAGAGTGATGCCCTGGAGAACATTGCGGTTCAATGAATCAGTGTGCAATCCATATAATGCTGATTTTGATGGTGACGAGATGAACATACATGTTCCTCAGACTGAAGAGGCTCGTACGGAAGCTCTCATGCTCATGGGGGTAATATGCTTTTGGTTTTGGCTCTATGCTGTTATTGTTGTAAAAGATCAACCTGTAAGAAAGAAAATCTTGTGGCGAAAGATACATAGACATTGTAATTCATTTTGATGGGGAGGTATTGTGGAGCTTCCAGGATTGCTTATGAAATTCACGATTTTGATCATGTTGCGGCTTTGAAAGTGATTTCAACCTTGAGCTGATGTCAGTGGAATGGAGCAATTTCAATCAACCAAAATGCTTTTGTCTTCAAAACCTATCTATTTTAGGCTTGAGGTTATATTTGAATCTTAGTTTAAGAACCTTGTACTAGGTGCATTCTCCCTGCCAATAATAATACTTCTATGGTGATCTTTAAGTGATTATTGATGGATTATCATCTATTTTCTTATTCCAAAAGCCACTTACAGGGACTGTCCTTTGATGTTTCTGGTAAATATGAGTTGGAGTTATGTATTTTATCATGGGGAACTTTAGGTTGGAGATATTTATGCTGGATAGTGTTGAAGATTTATTCTTTAGAGCATTCTCTAAAGGCAACATATATTCTACTTGACAAGTTTGAGTGGTATTCTGGAGTTTATTTGAGGGATTGTCAGGAAGTGTGTAATATATGATACAAGGAATAAATGATTCTTGTACGTTGGTATGCATGGGTTGGTGTGTTTTTTTTGGGAATATATCTCCATATCCCCTACTTTTAGGTTTCATTTCTTGATAAACCCAAGGTGTCAAAAGATATCTTCTAACCCCATGGCCAATTTAAACCTATTTTTTAACCTAAACAAGTGTGAGAAAGACATGTTATTTTTAAACCCAATCCTTTCTCTCTCTTCACTTATATATCCCAAATTTCTCTCTTTCTCTCTCTTCTTGTGTCTCTCTCAGTCTCTCTCTCCTCTCGTGTTTTTCCAAACACCCTTCTCTCCTCCCGGTAACCTCTCACCTCCATGAATCCCTTCTCTCTCTCTAGAAGTTTGGGAGGATGACTTTTAGAAAATACATGTCTTTTTAGATTTGTTTGGCCTAAAAAAACAGGTTTAAATTAACTTAGGCGGTTAGAAGAAATAAAATCTACAAGTTTTATGCCCCAATATATCTTTTAAAACCTTAGATCTATTGTGAAATGAAACTTAAAAATACCAGGTATGGAGATATTTTCCTTTTATTTTTTCATTCATTTTGATATTTTCGTGTATTATTTATTATGGTGAAACTATGCTACTAACATCTATTTCAAATGAAGCTCCACAAGTTTCACATGTACTTGACGGACGCATGCTACAAGCTAAGCCGACAAATTCTGGCTGTCAAGTTCATGTGAATTGGAACCCTTCAAAAAAAAAAAAAAGTTCATGTAAATTGGATTGTCTTGTGAGTTTGTGAAATGTTCTTCAAATAACAAACTGGAGTATGCTTCATATTACTGGAACTTAGAAGACTTCTATATGGGTTTCTTTTATTTAATGTCATTACAATCAAAATGAAATTTGAAATTCACATGAAAATTTGCAGGTACAACACAATTTGTGCACACCAAAGAACGGAGAAATTTTGGTTGCTTCCACTCAAGATTTTCTAACGTCTTCATATCTTATAACAAGGAAGGACACTTTTTATGATCGTGCTACTTTCTCGCTTATGTGTTCCTATATGGGTGATGGCATGGAGAATATTGATTTACCAACACCGGCTTTACTGAAGGTATTCTTTTCTCCATCAGTTATCAGTATTCGTTTTATGTCTGGCTAATTTTGGAATTTTTGTCCATGTAGAATTTGTGCAATAATGTGGGAGAGTGACTTGTCACACTGTGGAATACATTAGGTTGACTATAGTTACTGGTGACAAAGGTTTCTTTATTTTTAATGAATTTAGGGTTTTTTAAACAGGGATTTGATATAATCCCATTCACTAGTTATAATTATACAATACACTTTTGTGAATAAATGGTGGCTTCTGTCCAAGCCTCTAATAGAAGTTCTCACCTAGAAAGATGCAATAAAAGCCAGAAAGCATATTTAATGCCTCATAACTCTATTTTATTACATTCATTTGCTTTTTAGTTTTTTAAATTGTTCAATTCAGAGTAAGATGTAGTTGCCTCTTGGATTTCTTCTTTCTCAACCGAACTCCACAGATCTCGCTCATCCTAGGCTTCTCTTTGTCAATATCATAGTTTTTCTTCGCTTAAGGATTTCCCGGTTTTACAGTTTGAAAAAAAGAAAAAAGGATTTCCTGGTTTTAGAATGTTTCACACCAAAAATGCAGTTTCTATTAGATTTTAATCATGGAAGGTTTATTCCGTTGCCAACTTTTAAAATAGTTCCTCCCAAGTCCCAAAGTAGTTTGATCATGTGAAACAACAAAAATAAATTGGTTTCTTTTGAGCAAGTTAACTATTTTCAAAAAGAAAAAAAAATGGTTTCTTTTAGCCCTTATATTTTTGATTCAATTGTTTGACTTATTTGAAAGCCAGAAAAAAGTTCCTTGTGAATGCTTTTAACCTTCTCTGTGGGACTAAAAAACCATCTTCAATAATTTCTTACAAAAATACCCTAAAAATCATTTGTTTTTGTTTTCTATGAGATTTCTTTCTTGTAAAAAATTGTAAGGGTGCAGTTGGCATACGGATGCATCCGTAGCTGTAGAGGTAAGGTGCACCGTCAAATTTTATCATGGTATATAATTTTGATGTAAAATGTTCTTAGGATTATCTCAAAATCTATTTTTATATCTAATTATAAAATTTTAAATTTCAAAAAATGGTTAAAATCAAGTGGATCTATAAACATATGAAAATCTTGAAAATGGATAGTGTAGATAATATGTTGTAAAATGAACAATTTCTGAGGCTTAAAATCTTTTTATTTTTCATGGTCATACATCTTGATGTCGAATGTTCAATCAAAGGGTTTTTCAACATTAAAACTACCTTTTCCGATGGATTTTTGAGGTGCATCTGTAGTTCTACATTATAAGGTTGCAACCTTATATAAACTTTTTCCATATTGTAATAATGTTTGGATTTCTCAAGCGCACAAACAAAGTTTGGGATTTTCCAAAATCATCTTAGGCAAATTTAAGGAAAATTTCTGACAAGTCTCTCAGTTTGCAATTTATGGAACTTGTCCCCAAATCTCTAAATAGCCAACTTAAGCATCTTGTCATAATCCCTTTGATGCCTTTCTTTTGGCCTGCAAATTTTCTTCGCACATTCTTACCCATTATCTAAATGTGGGTATCCTATCGCCTCTTTTGCCTGCAATCCGTGATTTGGAAATCACATGGTTTAACTTTCATTGACATGAGCTGCAGCTGATTTTGTGGTTTAGATCAGAGCAGGCATTTTCTGTTTTTATCCCACTAGTCATGGCCCTTTACATGTTGCATGCATAAAAAGGGCGCAAAAGCAGTATCCTATAAGTCACCGACCCCCAATGTGTCATGACCCAAAATGCCGCCAACCATGGTTAGTGCCGCATCTAGATGAGCCCTTTGAACATAGACATTCCCATGTACACTGACTTAATTACTCCTTTATGACTTGCAACATCCCATAACTATGGCGGCCATTACTTGGCCTTTAGTAAAACAACCTCCATTTTATCATGAATATATCTACGGTAATCTGTCAATTGTTGGATGTGAGCACTCAAGCAAATATCTAGTTTTTAAATCAAGATGTTAAGTGATATGGTGAACTGGTGAAGGTCATTTTTTTTGTATAACCTGTGTGATGCCATTTTTGTATACTTGTAAAGCTCATATCTAATACAAGTCAACAATTTCCCAAAAACAAAATTTGTTAAATAATATTGTGAAGGTTTTCATGTGACTTGAGACACCATCGTTCAAGCCTGAATTGACTGTAACGTTATTATCTCTTTCTTAAGGAAAAGTGAGAAATTGTAGAGCATGTCTTATACTTGATATCTCAAAGGTTTTGTATTATTGAAGTCTTGCTTTGCCCCAAAAAATAGATATTTCAATTATTCCTTCTCATTGGTACGTGATATCTCAGCGGTGGGTTGTTGGATATTATATTTGTCTAATCATAATTTCATAATGTCATGTGATTGTTGTGAATGATGAGAAATTGCTGGGTAGTTGGTTAAAGCATGACTCAATTAATGTTAATTTCACCCAGAAATGTTATTAACTTCTGGAGAACTTAACAGGTGCGTTCATATCGATTGAACCATCTGTGCATTCGTATCCCTGAAACCCTAATTGTAACCGGGTGTTCCTGATGGAGTTTAGCCCTTGCTTATCATATCCCAAGGATGTAAACCGCCAAATATATATCGTACTTAATACAAAATAGCACATGTGTACCCTAACGGGAAGAACATTCTTTTATGTATTGGCAAGAAGTCTGTTACGGGGTAAATAGGCTGCTGTTATGGGATTCATCTTTGTTGAAGGAAGAGGAAAATGACAGTTCCTAGCGTTTAGTGGATTTTTATTGATGTCAAAATATAAATGAGATTCGTACTATGTTCAAAAAGTACCTGCCCTGGTGGCTGGGAGGCCTCACCACCCTGCGCTGGGACTATGGGGTGGAGTGTGGGATGGTGGCCTTGGGCGGCTGATATGGCCCTTTTAGCGAGGCCTGAAAATAGGCGTTGCTAGAAAATTTCAAGGGGGAAACTGCATTTGCGGGGCATTTTGGCCCCCAAAACCCTAAACAACCTTATTTTATCCAAAAAAAAAAGAACACAATTTTTTTATTCTAAAATGTATTCTGTTAAGGGTTGAAACCGAATTTGTAGTTTCTGATCCTTGCGGAATCGAAAGGCTTTCCACTGGAAACTTTTTAGGGATTGAAAAGGTTGCGAAATAGAGCTTTTTTGGCAACCAAAAGTGACCAATTGAAGCTTTTTTCTATTGGTTTTTTGAAAGATTAGTAAATTCAATTGTTCATGTTTAGGGTTTCATATTTATTGTAACTATTGAGTGCTTTTTTGGCAACTGAAAGTGACCAATTCAAGCTTACTTATATTGGTTTTTTGAAAGGTTTGTAAATTCAATTGTTCATATTTAGGGTTTCATATTTATTGTACGTATTGTGTTACGTTATGCTTTTTTTTTTTCATTTTCATATATTATTTTTGAAGTTTGGCTTTACATTTATGATGAAACTTCATGTGTGGTTTTCTTTCTTTTTCGTTTTTTTTTTCTTAGTTTGCTAATTTGTTGTGATTGTAATATATTTAGGGAAAAGTTTCCATGCTTCCCCTACACCATAAAAGATATATACTTCTCGCTTCATCCTGCCGTCCAATTTAATAAACCCTAACACCCCCCCCCCTTCCCGTCTCTCTCTTCCCCCCTTCTCTCTTCTTTTCTGCGTGCCCCGTGGCGGTTGTTGGGCATCCCAACCACTGGGGCACCCGTTTCCGTTTTCTTAAACATTGGGTCCTTTAGTGATTGTTTGTATGACGTGAAGTTTGTTTTGTCTTAAAGACTTGTGTGACTTACATGATTATCATTTGGTACAAATATATGTCAAATGATAATTTTCTTCTATGCTCCAAAGAGAAATAAATGTACAATCTTATTTTTAGGTATCTGATTTTCTCGCTTTACTTTATTTAAAATTTATTTTTTGGTGTCTCCTTAGTTTTTGCTTATTTTCATTGGTTGGTTTTGATTCTCTCATTTTGCTTTTGAGAGGTGGTCATGCGGGATTTGCTAAATAGTTTTTCGGGCAATCATAAACGTGTAACAATTTTTGGAATTCTCTTTCCAAGTTTTCTAGTTCCTTATTCAATTCTCCTTTTTTAATAGGGAAATTATTAGAAATATACCCTAATTTTTACATAATTAGTAAAAAACCTCAAACTTTCGTAAAGCTTGTCCATACCTTTTTCCCTCAATTTTAGACGTTTTTGGACTAAAATAGCCTTCACCGTAGTCGTATGACCGTGAAGGTCGTCTGTAGCATCACGGTACTCTTAAGTACCGTGATTAATTAATCATCAACGACGGCATTTAAAGTATGGTAATTATATTTTTCCCTTGTTTGAATGCGGAAGAATCGGGAGGGTGACCAGAGAAACATTGCAACCAAATCCATCGTAGGGATAACCCATCCTTTTCCTCTTGATTTGTATCATTATATTTAGAATCACAACATCTGTTCCTCATCTTTATCTCTACACCTAGAGAGAATTGCTAGGGGATTTCTTATATATTTATTTCCTTTATTGCATGAAGGAGATAAAGGTACGGAGAGGTATGTGAGAGGAGAGAGAAGGATTTTCCTTTTCAAAAGCCCTAAATTCTTTAGTGCCTTTTAAATAGGATAGGAGAAGATTCTTAAAAATAATGCTTAAGAGATAGGGAGAGATATGTAAGAGTGTAAGGGAGAGAGTTACGTGAGAGAGAGGGAGTTTCCATTTTTTAAAATCCCCTAAAATTTTGAGAAAGAAAGATTTAAGAAGATATCTTCTAAAATTTAAAAAGATAAAGACATGATAAATGAAAAATAGTATAAAGATATATCCCCATATGATCCAATAAGAGATAGAAAGAAAAGAGTGGTGCAATGAGAGATAAAATATAGGAAGAATATCTTTGTAATTATTTGTAAAAAAACAGATAGAATATCTTTCTAATTTGTAAGATAGACATGAAAGAGAAGATAAATGAAAATATTATAGGGGCATTCTATTCATCTTTTATTTGTTTTCACATTGGTGGGGGATGCCATGGGAGGCGCCTCCTTCAATCCCACGCGCCCCTTAGCTCATTACAGCATTTTAAGTGCCGTATAAGATGTCTTATGAATAACGGCACTTAAAGTACCGTAATGTCCTCAAGACATTACCTTCCAATAACCTGTCAAAATATAAGCTTTAGTCATCACGGTACTTTAAGTACTGTGATGCATAGGCTTCACGGTAATACAGATACCGTGAAGGTTATTTTTGTCAAAAAAAAAAGCCAAAATTAAGGAAAAGGGGTATGGACGAGCTTTATGAAAGTTCAGGGTTTTTTTCTAGTTAGGCCCAAACTAAGGTATATTTCTGATAATTTCCCTTTTTAATATTCTGTTGTGTATATCAAGTAAAGTCTGCCTTATCATTTGCCATCCTTTCTCATTTGATAGCGATCTTCGTATAATTGTTGAAATAACTAAATTTCATGTTGTTTGGCTGGTTCTGCTTCCTTGTGTCTTTTCTAAATCGGTTCTCTTTTTATGTGGCATTATGGAATTGAAAGATATACACTTGTCCTCTAGGTATGTGTAAGTTACATATCTCTGTTTATATATATTTTGCAGCCAGTGGAGCTTTGGACTGGGAAACAACTGTTTAGTGTTCTGATTCGTCCACATGCACACATGAAGGTTTATGTAAATCTTAGCCTCATGGAGAAAAATTACAGTAAGGGAGGTGAAACAATGTGCGCTAATGATGGATTTGTTTATATTCGCAATAGTGAGCTCATTTCTGGTCAACTTGGAAAAGCTACCTTAGGTACACATGCTTTCTCTTTTTGATGTGTGATCTCTGTTAGAGTTTGCATAATTTGTGCGTTTTAGCCAACGGCTAAGTTAGCTTTATGCATTTACATTTGATGCCCGAAAGAGAGTTTCTTGTCAAAGCAAAGAAAGGAATCTGTATCTAAGGGCATAGTACTATAAGTAAATAGAAACTCGTCGTTCCTGTGTTTTACTTTAAGTCGCCTTATACAACTGTAACATATAATTCTACACAATGTAGGAACATGGTTCTGCTCAGTTTAATTCCTGTCAATTGATAAGCTGGTTGTATTACATTCATGTTTTCAATTATGTTGTCATAGAATTCATATATACCTTTCTGAAGCCTCTTGCCTTTTGTGGGTTTCACATAGTGAATCCTGTTAATGGCTCTTCTGAGTAATTGTCCGTTGGGATGTTTGACTGCGATATCTTAAGGCTGTAATAAAGGCTGCATGGTCTTGTCGTGTTGCGGAACTTGTGCACATTCTTTTCTAGCATGTATAGATAGGAAAGAATGTTTTAAGCAGCTTTGAGATCTAGTATGCGAATTATGTCATGTTGAGGAGTTGAGGAATAATCAATTTTTACATCTGGCAGTTCCTGTGCTTTGAGCGGTTCCTGCTGTTATTTCATGCGTTTCAAATGGGTCACCTCATTCATTTATTATTTGCATCCTCAGTGATGCGCAATAGTTTACATGATCTCATTTATCTTATCAAACTGGCTGATGCATGTTCCTGCAGTCTTGTTGCAAGGATTCCTTGTATGGAGAGGTTTCTTGAGTGATAGGATACAAAGCTTATGTCTTTCTCTTTATATGAATTGGAGATGATCCTTCTGATTTATGGATTCTATTGAGGTTAATTGTCAGCAACAGAGCCAGGATCATTTGAGTACTAAAGAGCAGGACTAGGTTTGGATGCACCCAATTTTTCTGTAGTGCCTGGTATGGAACCACCCAATATTGCAATATCTTCATGACTTTAAGCAATCCAAAAACTTTGGTGAGTCCCAACAAAGGTTTGAGTTTGGGTGCATGAAATGGTGGGGGCAATGATTGCAGTAGCCAGTATTATGATGGCAAATGTTCATTTTGGACTTTATTTATACCCATCGAAATAGTTGGCAACCCTGCAGGCAGCCATTTTGTATTAAGTGATCAGTATCTCTCACGGCTCTCTCACATAAGTCCCCCTTCATTGATGATCCTCTTTTCTCCCTCACCTGGGGCAGCATGGGGATATAAGCAGCAACAGGTGGTGACAAGGTTAAGTGTAGATGCATAAGATTTTGGCTCACACATCATGGGAGCTCAGTTGGCTTGAGAGCTTTGTGACAGATTTGAATTAAGGTTTCATCATTTTGATGGGATTGTGTTGTGATAACTGGGTTGCTATTCCTATAGCTTCAAATGTAGTATTCACGAGGCAACCACCCATATTGAGGTTGGCTGTAACTTTATTAGAGTGAAAGCTGGTGCGAAAAAAAATTGAAATGCATATGTGAAGTCATAAACCAATTTTCTAACATGCTTACTATGGCTCCTGGAAGGAAAAGGTCGCATGACTTATTAGACAAGCTGGGCTTGGTTGACAGCCAAGCTCCAGCTGTAAGGGAATGTTGAAACTGTTTGATTGTGGGAATACTTTGGCTGTTCTTCATTTCTTGGAGTCGTATGTAACTTGTGTAATATCCCCATATGTTTAAGGGCATTTTTGTCTGGTTGTATATCGTTATTACTTCATAAAATATAAATGCCTATCTAAGATAGTGAATGGCCTATAAGGGCTTTAACTTCTCATTCTTTCCTGTAGTATCACCCATTTTTAGGAGAGTTGTAGTCGTCCATTTGGATGATATCCTGAATTATATCTTTCGTATGAGGGATATCTATCTGATTGTCGACAAGATCTACTTTTTAGTTGAGCTTATGTTGCCCCTATGAGCTCCAAGCTTTTAATCTTTTTTTTTTACCTCTTTTCTTTTTGAGGTGATTGTTTCCATGATTTACTGTTGACTGCTGACCGTGGAATTGGTTTGAGTATATTGCCGTTGTTCTCCTTCTTCCTTTAGTAGCAATTATCTTCTTGATCATGTCAGGCTTCTTGGTCTTTTAACTGCTATGGCTGGTCTACATGGGCGGGGACAAGGTTGACAAGTTAAGATTAGAATATTGATTGTTTGGCAATCAACTTTGATAATACCCAACAACATTGAGGATGCCTCTTGGTGATTTTAGATGGATAACGATGGACACTTGAGGTCCCAGGAAATTTGTTGTCTCCATTGTGAGGTCTTGTGGTATATATGAGTATTATGTGCCTAGGTAGAAAAACTCCATTGGCACATGGTCTGGCTCATGTAGGTGCATGGCTGTGGTAGTCATTTGGGGATGATTTGTTGCCTTTGATTTTTTTTTCCCTATTTTCGTACTTTACTTTTAATAGAAGTTTATTAATATTTGAGAGTGAAAAATCCAAGTATGGAAAGAGGGAAGCATCTGCCAAAACTTAATATATATAGGGGATAGAAGGCTTAGGCACTAGTTCAGACAATAGCTTCTCCGTGCCATATAGTTTCACTTTTGATCTCCTTGGATGTAGCTAAATATTGGACGGGTTGGCCCTTTCACCTTTTTGAGGCATCTTTCTGAAGTGTAGTTCTCACAACCAGGCTGTATTTAGTCAACACAATATGACTTCTAGGTGCGAGACACTCAGACTTGAGTTCTCAACAAAAAAAATCTAGCAAATGTGACTTCACAAAAATCGATGAACAATCTTCAGAATTGGGGATCAATGGAAAAAGGGGGACTCAGTAATGTAATCTGGTGGGGTAGCAAAAGGATGGATAAAACCCATGGGATCTTCAGATGTCTTTTGTTGGGGTTTGTGGCCTTTAAAGGCCGTGAGAGCATGTAACTAAGTCGATTATTACAGTGTTAAAAAATTCTGCTGCCACCTAGGTGGGCTGCCTAGGCAGCCAAAGGCCTTTCCCGCCTGCATAAGGGTCTATGCAGGTTCCTAGGGAGGCGGGTGCCTAGGCGGTGCCCAGTGCCCTTCGGCGAGAGGGTGTGAATATGCCCTTCGCTGAGGGCAAACAATGTCATTTCCCCCCTCAAAGAAGGGGGGCATTGTGACCCCTCAAAACCTACTTTGCGTGCATTTGGGAGGGAAGAACTACTAATAAACAAGATTTTTTGGAGCCAAGTACGACTGGCGGCTGGAAGTCAATTAAGCCCCAAGAGGGCCATAAGATCTCAATCTCAAGGGGAGAGATTTGAAAGGGAGAGGAGGAGGAGGAGGAGGAGGAGGAGGAGGAGGAGGATGAGGCAGAGTCACAGGAGACTGGGGAAGAGGAAGATTATATAGAGGAGGGAGACAACTCTGATGATGATGGCATGACATCATTGTGATCTGAGTTCATCATGATCACATCTAATGTAATGTTGAGTGTATGGAGTTGGACTGTTTCTTCTTTTTCTTTGTTTCACTTGGCTATGATGAACTGATATTGTTGAATGTTGATTTTGGAAAATGGGTTTCGGCCGATTGGCCATCTTTTTCTTTTGTTTATTTATTTTTATTTGACTGTTACACTTTAAGTAATTCAATGCCAAGTTCATATTTGAGATATCTATGAAATATGGTGTATCTAGGACTTAGATAGTGTATTTTACTCAATATTTCTAAAAAATTATATTCCAAGATCATTTGGAGGCAACCAAACCCCGCTAAACGGCTTCCTTGAGGCATAGACCCGTAAGTTCCTAGATGGGTTGCTTAGTGAACTAGGCGCCCGCCTGACTGCCTAGGCAGCCGATTCCATATTTTCCAACATTACATGGACTGGTGGAGGTTGAAGACTATAAAATAACACACCTCAGTGAGAGTGTGTGATATTTTTGACTGACCAAGGTTAGGCGGTCTATTGTCATGGATATGTTTAAAACTCTTACCCTGAGGCATATGGCACTACTGAAAAGGGTTTATACAAGGCCATCCCTTGTTGAGGTCAGAGAGATGCCCATTGATGGATTGTAGGCTAGGAGAGCGTGTGGTCTCCTATGTGCGGATGTATGCTTTTGAGAGTGAGGGATAAGTCCTCAACACACTTCTATATTGCATGAACATATGATAGCTGCGCTATCAGGAAGTAACCCCGAAAAGGAATACTTGTACATATGCAAAGCGATAGTCCTCCTTTTCACTATAGTGATATGTGCTTAGCTTGTTCTTGGGGGGAGGAGGGGGACTGTAAACCACATTTCGTGATCCTAGTTCCAATGTTTATTGGACAACTTTGATGAGCCAATCATGACCCCATGTATGAGACTGTGGGTTATGGATTTCGTTGGGTCGGTTTGAGAAAACAATTATAGATCACGGCCACTGTGTCAGATGGAGTGCCCTTATAGTCACTTATTTTGACCCATTGGTATCAGTCCGCTTCCTTTTTTTTATTTTTATTTATTTTTCAGTATTAGAAATATTTTTGTTAATTTTCAGAAATTTTTCAGAATTTTTAAATTCTTTTTTGTTGTGAAATTTTTCAAAAGGGTATTTTCAAAATTTTGTTGATGAGGAAGGGCGCTTATGGGGCCCTTAGATCCAACCGCACTTGTGTGCCACACGACATGGTATTATGTTTGATTATGTTTTAATTAAAAATGTTTTAAGTTGTTTAAAGATGCTCTTTTAAAAGGAAATATTATGCGTACTTATTTTGAGATATATTTGATCAAGATATTTTATTTTTGACTTCCTACAATTTTTAAAGATATAAATAAGGAAGTTCTAGTTAGGCAAGAAGTGGATATGGGCCAAATATTAAGGGGATAAAGTTCGTAATATTCCTCTCTGAATCATAATGTCTATTTTATGGGATGGATAGCTCAGATCTATCTCTCCCAACTCACAGATTTCCTAAATTCGTATTGGTCACGGTGAGTCATTGGATAGGCATAACCAAGGTTTCAAAAAACGCTAGGCA